GACATGTTGCCAGGAGGGACGGGTCCTTGGAGAGGGACATCATGCTTGGGAGGATGGAGGGACAGCGCAGGAGGGGAAAGACCCTCTATGAGATGGATTGATTCGGTGACTGGGGTAATCAGGATGGGTGTGTCAGAGGCGGTGCGGTTGGTGCAGGATAGAGCAGGGTTTAGGGCTGTTGTGCATAGGGTCGTTATGAGTCGGAAACGACTCGATGGCACATAACAACAACAACATAAATGCAGGAGAGGTGGTTGCTTATTCTCTTCCTGCGGAGAGCTTTGAACCTCGTGCCTTCGGGTTGGCAGCACAATTCCTTACCAAGAGGCAACCCGAGGTCCCTAAAGGCCTTTATCCCTTGCTATGACTCCTTAGTTAGCAAGCAAAACTCCTAATCATGTCCTCTTACTTTGGATTTAGTGCTAGGAAGTATTATGGGATAAAGTAAGAAAAGAATTTTGAGGATAAAGAGCAATGAGATTAGGTATAGTGGAAAAGTACTTTCATAGGTGAACTAGGAAGATACCTCAGTCATCTGCCCGGCCAGCGAGGACACAGCACTCCTTCCCTTGGCCTACAGAGCCTCACTTCACCATCTAAGGAGGCTGAGGAATCCCAGGGTTGGCCAAGAAGATGAGTATTCAGGTCAGGTGTCTAAGATGACGTCAAAGATGACTTATAAGCAAGGGGCCCTGTTTCTCTGTTGCTATGACAACCGTAGTTTGACTACTAGACCCTTATAAATAGGTTGGCTAAGCCATTAAACTTGGCATTAAAGAGGAGGTTGGGGAGTATGGTTTCGTTGAATAAAGACGTAAAAAGCATTATACTTAAGAAAGGTTCTTTAGCCCAGTGGTTCTCCACCTTTGCAGCACGCTGCAATCACTGGCGGGATTTTAGAAGCTCTAATGCCTGAGCCATAGCCCAGATCTGGGTGGGGTTCCTGATTTTTCAATAAGAACTAACAATGTAACCAAGCGTCAGCGTTTAGTTTTCCAGGTGATTACAACTGCAGCCCAAGTTCTAAACCGTCTTTTCACCGTGACCTCCTCAAGATGGCAGCCTATCAGCCCGCTTCTGCATTTACGTGAACCCGCAGGGGCGGGTCTCCGGCGCGCGCATGCGTGCAGCGTCCCTCGGCTCCCGGCTCCCCTCCTCCTTTCTCCCCCGCCTCCATTTTGTTTGCGGACGCTGGGGACGGTGGGAGCAGATCCATTTCCGGGTTGGCAAAAGGGGCGGCGGCGGCTAGAAAGGGAGCTTGCCAGGGGACGAGCGGGACGGGACGGAACCCGAGCGGAGGTGGCTGAGGATTCGCTCTCGGAGCGGCGGTGGCCATGTTGGAAAGAGGCTGGGGAGGTCGGGTCCCGTCGCTGGAATGACCTGCGGACCCGAGTGGGAGGAAGAGCCTGGGAGTGGGGAGTGGGGCGGGGCTTGAGGAGAGGGGAGCCTGGGAGGAGGGGCCTGGGGGGGTGGGGAGAGGGTCCTGAGGGCGGGGCCTGAGGGGAAGGCGCCCGGGGGCCGGGTCGGAAGAACCGGGAGGAGGGGGCTTGGGGATCGGTATCAGTATCGAGCTCTGGTTGGAAATTGAGAGGAAGGCTCTTGAGAGACAGGAAATAAGGGATCAAGAAAGCTTGGGTGAGGTGAGTAAGACGGGAACTCTAGTGAGGAGCGAGGTAACCGGGCGCAAAAAGGAGATGCGGAGGGAGGACCTGTCGGGAACAGTTAATTTAGCAGGATGCTCTGGGTGAGGGGTCCGGGGTGACTTTTTTGGGGGGCGGGTTAAGATGGGACGTTGACTCGGGAAACTGCTTACACTAGAGGGAATCTGGAGGGCGTTAGTTGAGACAGAGGCAGGATTGAGTTAAAGGTTGGGTTGAGGACAGTTGCAGTGCACACGGGGGGCATTTAGAATGGAGAGGTCACGTTGAACGGGGCGGTGGAGGGAATGGTGAGAAGTGAAGGGAGGAAAGATGGAAATCCGAAAGTGTCGAAGGTGGGCACTGTGGCTGATCAAGAAGTAACATCCTCAAAGGGTAGCATTGGGACTTGGAAGAAGCAGATACGTGCTGGAATTCATAATTTTAAAGGGAATTTTAACTGCTTTGGCCTCCCCTAGGGCCGCCTCTTTTTTTCCTTGCTGCTGCTGTTGTAGCCTTCAGTCAGTTTTGATTTCTAAATGACTTGCTGATTGTTTTTGGAGACAGTTTGAGCTCTTTTCACAAATCAGAAAACTCTAGGGAATAACGACTCTTTCTAGCCCTACTGTTGATTTACTTAGTAACTTTGGAGGAAATAGTTAAACCTAAGTGTTTCACTTCCCTCTTTGAAATAGAGATCTCATCTCTCCATGTCTCTAAAAGAAGAGGGGGGAGGGGCTTTTTAAAATCACAAGGAATCTTTTTAAAGTGGTTGCAAAAAATTATTTCGAAAATACAAGGTTGAGATATTGACATTTAGAAGACATGGCTTCTCAGTTTCCTTTTCAGCATATGCTGCATTTTTATGTGCCTGGGAAGAGTTGGGTTTTAGATTTGAGGATGAATGAGATCAGTTGGAAGTGGCTACTGTGGAAGAGTACAGTGTTTTATTTTCTAGTTGCCAGAGTGTTTTACTCCTGAGAAACACTGAATTTCTTCATGAATCTTTGAGAGTTCAAGGAAACATAGTATTTTTGAAAAGTAGAGCCTTTTTCTCTGGTTCATTTGCTTTGGCTTAGCTCCCTGTTGATGGAGACCATTGTGCCTGTGGACACTTTTAGCTTTCTTACTGTTAGTCCTTTGAAATCCTGCTTTTCTCTCTGGGAATAATGCTCTGAACACTTTGCCGTAGGTGGAAATCTTGGCATGGCTGTAATGTGACGTGGATTTAAGAGAGATTCTAGTTTTGCCTCACACTTGATAGAGAGTAGTGTTTATTCTAGTTAATACTGATTAGTTCTGTGATAGGTGATATCAACACAAAGGTGAAATGCAAGTTAGGGTAGAAGCTAGTATAGGATTCTTAGGTTTTACTAATGGCTGTGAAGAAAGGAAGGAAGAGAAATCCTTGACCCTAATAAAGAGAAGATTGTCAGTTCTTTCTTAACTCTTTGGGCTTTCTGATGATGAAAGTGACCAGAATACTTGGGTCTGTTTTCTTATTGATGTAAAGTAGTTTAAAATTCATGAACTGCTGTTTCAGGCTGTGTCAGCAAACCATAGTCTTTATACAACCCCTGGACGATTTGTAGACTATGATGTGTATGTTCTTATTGGATTAAAAACATGCCTGGTACTATTCTGTTACTTCAACCTACAATGTATTTTTTCAGTTTTTTTCTGAGTGCTTTGAGAAAAATGATGGTGGTCCAGAGCTCTGGGCAAGTGTTTGCTATAGCTTGCTTCTTTAATGTAAGGGGTTTTGTGTGTGTGTGTGTGTGTGTGTGTGTGTGTTTCCTGTTCTGCCCTGTTTTTCCATTAAACATTTTTAAGTGGAAAATAGCAAATTATACGTTTTCTTTCTCCTCTTTTTTAGTCTCTGGTGGAGATCTTGTTTTTGTCACAGTTTGATACCACCAAATGAAAAGATTCTTGACTGTTCCAAATAGGGAGGGTGACAGAAGCTGATCTGGGTTTCCTGGGCCAGAGAATGGACTCTGTCAAAGCAAAGACTAGTTGCAGAGACACACAACTGGGACCTTGACGCTGTGCCTAACATTTTGGCAACATGCATCCTTTTGCCAAATAACTTCTTTTCTTCTTGAGTAAGATTGTTAATCTCCTTCTCAAAGTAGCCTCTTATTGCTGCTGTTCCACACACAACCTTCCAGCAGAAGTTGGCAGAGTTTCTGTTATCTGTCTCTTGAGGGATATGCCCCGATTAGAGTAGATGGGGCATTCTGTGTTAAAATGAGATTCATGGGCAGATCTTTGAGCTACTGTGCAATGAAATAGAGGGATACTTTTTACTGAATGTCATCGCAACTCTTTTTGGTTCTTCTGAATTAAAATCTGTTTCTTATTCATCTGTATTAAATACAGAATCATTGTTTTTGTCCAGTTTTGAAATCTAGGCTTTGAAGAAAAGAGACCTGGTATTTCTGGCAGCTCACCATAACCCCAACTCTCACTTTCAAGTCTATGAACCTACAGAACCACACACTAAATTTATGAGGATTTCTTAGTATGATCTTTGAGCAGTGATCAAAGCAATGATCAAATGTCCAAAGAGCAGCAGTGGGCTCAAGTGTGTCAGAGATGATGAGGATGGCACAGGATAGCACAGGCTTCATTTCTGTTGTGTTGTTCATAGGGTCACTGTGAGCCATACTTGACTTGATGGTACCAAGAACAACAAAAACAACAGTCAGCAAATTGATTCTGACTCACATGACTCTACAGGACAGAGTAGAACTACCTCTGAATTTCTGGGAGAATAGTGCTGAATATCTCATGGACTGCCAAAAGAACAAACAGATATGTCTAGGAGAAAGTGCATCCAGAATGCTCCTTGGAGGCAAAGATGACAATTCTTCATCTTGCATACCTTGCACATGTTATTAGGAAAGACTGTTCCTTGGAGAAGGACATCATACTTGGAAAGGAGGAGGTCAGTGAAGGAGAGGAAGACTCTCAACCAACCAGATGGATTGACACAGTGACTGCTGCAGTGAGCTTGAGTATATCAGAGGTGATGAGGATGACACAGGATAGGACAGGTTTCAGATCCGTTGTTCATAGGTGGAGCTTATTCGGTGGGCTGTACTCAACAACAACATAACAGATCTTTATGGAAGCAAACTGTCACCTCTTTCTCCCCTGGAGTGACTGGTAGATTTGAACTGCTGATCTTAGGTTGAATGGTGGAAAACATTGTTAGAAAAAAAGAGGCAGTACATTTGATAATTCCTGTGTCGACCATAGAAGTGATGATTCAGTTGTGTAATCTTCATCTTATACGTGAAAAACTCTAGATCCCACTTGAGGGAAATGAGAGTGAGAGAAATACCAGTGGAAAAGTGATGGTTCAATGATAGAATCTTCACCTTCCATGTCGGAGGCCCTGCCTGCAGTTTTGATTCCTGGTCATTATACCTCAAGAACAGCCACAGCTTACCTGTGATTGGAGGGCTGTAGGTTGTTATGTTACTGAACAGTTTTCTGGGTAACGTAAATACTGTTGTTATTGTTATGTGCAATTAGAACCACCTCAACTGGCTTTCCTTCTTGTGGGTTTTCAGACTCAGTAAATTACATGGGAGAAGGTTGCCTGTCTTTTTCTCGTGGAGTGGATTTGAACCATCTCCCTTTTGATTGGCAGTGCAACTCTTTATCCACTAGGCCACCAAGCTCTCCTAGTTTACAGACTAAGGCAGACTTGGTTATTTATTTCTGAAAATCTGTCAGTGAAAACCCTCTGGATCACAGTGGTCTAATCTTGTATATGGAATCACTAGGAGTTGACTTAACACTAAAAAACAATAACAAATAAAACAATCAAAAAAACAAACACCCTATGGAGGCAAATAAGCTTCAAATGAGAGAGCCAGAAAGTGGCTCCTGACTTGGCAATATTTTTATAATTTAGAAATGGCTGTATAATCATGAGTTTTAATTAGTAAATACCATTTTGTTTTGCAGAAAATAATTAGCTGCAATTAACTGTGTGTAGGTCGGTAGGTAATGAAGATAATTTACTGTTGTTTTTAACAGTGGCCCTTATGACATTGGAGATGCTGCCCTTTCTCTGGTGGTTCTTCATTCAGCTTCTTCTTGCCATCATTACTCTAAAATCCTCTGCTTCTGACCGGTTTGGGAAACTAGCAGGTTTAGATGCAAAGGTTTTAACTCTGGTCTAGGCCTTTGATTGTAGTAGTGAGTATGTTGGAGGTGTGTTTCAATCCAGTAAATGTTTCCTACCTTTTCTGTGCTATTTTTACTTATTCCATCACCAGTCTTATTGTTCTGTTGTGTCTAAAATCAGTTTCAATAGCTACATAGACCTCTTACAGAACCATATTTAGTAAGTTACAATTCACTGAGGATGCAGTTTCTCAGTCAGGACAGCTTCTAGGCCAGTGTTAACAAAGCTCTCTTCTTATTGTTATTAGGTACTGTCGATTGGAGTATGATCCATAGTGACCCTATGAACAATAGCTATGAACCCTGGCTTATCCTCTGACATAATAGTTCCTGCCATGTTAGAGCCCATTGTGCCTGTCACCGTGTCAGTCTACCTGGTCAAAGGTCTTCCTCTCCTTTGTGGACCCTCAATCTTTCTGAGCACCATGCCCTCCTGGCAACATGCCCAAAGTATGTGGGGCAAAGAGTTATCATCTTTACCTCCAAAGACCACTTTGGTTGCATTTTCTGTTAAGACATAAAGGCGCTGTTAGTCCTGCCAATTATGGCATCTCCACACCCACTCACCCATCCCCAAGTCCTGCAGTAAGCTTGGGCTAAGACCCCCTGGCTCTTGTTCCTTGAAGCAGAAGTCCCAGGTCAGCTGTCTTCTAGTTCTGCAGCTGCTGCGGCTTTACTGTAGGGTCCTGTCTGACTGGAACAGCAATCTCTGGCTCCAAAGGATGCTTGTGGCTTGTTCTTCCTTACTGGTAGTGAGATTCCCAAATCTCTGGCAATGAACATTCTTGATTTAAACCTGGAGAATGCAAAACTAGCCAATCTCCTTGTGGGTAGACTGACACACCCTATTTGCTTATTTCTGCCCAGCCTTGTGATAGGCCAGTGTTCTCAAAAGGCTGTTTTG